TATTCGCCTGACGTTTCGACATCCGTCGCGGATTCATCATCAGAGACATTACTGAGCTTTGTCAACCACTGCGCCTGAGCCCACCTGTGGTCGTACTGACTCAGACTGACTACCAGGCACGGAAGGGTGAAGGAAAAGAGTGCGACAAGTGCTGTGCAAGCCCCCGTTCTGCACCAGTCATGCTGTGGGTAGCGGTGGGGCGAATCACTTGCAATGGTCGGACTGACGTCACTGAAGTGCGCGTGAATTGCTACACAAGTGAGCTATCTGAAGTCATTTTCGGCAGGAAAATACATTCTTCTAATGTAAAGACAGTCGCCACCAAATTTCGCTACGGGAGATATGCAAGTGGTCGTGATTTTAGTGGAGAGCGTATGTTAACTTGGACCGGCGTTTCCGGCGAGTTCAGAGTAAACGACGACCGGTAATTTATCCGAGTTACTGTGCCTCGGCGAATCCTACACACCCCTACATAAACACAATAAAGCCAAATAAAAAATAGAGATGGGATGTATCGTTCCGTAGAAGATTAAGTGCAGTGTACCTGAGGGAAATTTAGGAATGAACAGTTGACCTTGATAATGGCTACACGTAAAGGAAGTATGCCAAAATGGACTTCTAACTAACAAGGTCTTGGGTTCAAGCCTCGGGAGCGGATACCCCAGGGGCTGGGTATGGCTGGCTGATGACGGCTAATCAGACAGAAATGTCTATTTCAGTCTCCCCTGTTTTTTACCGGTAATATATATCGAAAACTGTACAGATTGGCGAACTATGCCGTACCGGCAGTATTTAAAGACATGTAAGTACGTATGCGCGTAACTTTACGCACGGATATGCTACAGGGAAAACAGTATGATCTCTGGTCTGGAAACGTCATAATATATGTTAGCAGAGATGTGCGCCAAAGTTGAGATACGAGCCATTTATATAAACAAATAGTACTTTAAGATTATAATTAGCGTTGCCACAGTAATACAGATACTATGGGGCATCAAGATGATGGCGGTCGGATGGCATTGTGGTGCGTAGGGCAATATATAGATATCATTTTCCCTTAAACACTTCTAAGGATGCAGACACACAGCAATACCATCAGACAAAGCATGTCAATTTTCAACCACTCTGTCCAGCGTGGCACCAGTCACACACGTTTTTTGATGAGCGATTGCAAGAAAATCGTAAGCGCGTCAACCGGCAGAAAAGCAAAGCCGGCAGTCAAGCTCTTACCAATGTTGGTGACCTCGTGCATCGGGCCGACACTACTCATCAGTACATGCGGCAGTTGAGATTGAATGCTGCTTGTGACGTCCGCAAGAATCTCTTCGAGTAGACTGCTGACGCCAAGGTAACCACGTTGGTAGACTCTTCTGGGCAAAATGAGTTCGGCGTTGTTGAGTTGAAGACAGAGAGCAAGGAGGCCGACAAGAGCACCCTGCAAAACAGGAATGTAAGGCATAAGCAGGGGGACTAGACGATGTCTACTAGGTATGTCAAGTAGTATGCTCCCCGTTTGGGTACGATGTCCACGCGCGGGCTTTATTAACAAGAGCGATGCGAAAGATAAACGCACAAGGGCGCGTTTAACTCCCTCCTATGAGTGTTTACTCCACCCGTGGCCAATATCTGGTTCAGGTTTCAGACGTGAGTCACAGAATTATGGTATTTCCCACCTCAATCGTTCTCCTAGTTGGTGAATTGGGTAGACTGTTTAATAGCGAACAGGAATAACTATAACGCATTACAGAGCATAAGGCCGTCTTATAGAAGGATTACTATCGGGAACATCAGGCACTGCCGCCCTCGATTTATTTTCTGGGTTTTTAAGTCCCCCCACTAGCCGAAAAGAGGAGATTCGGTCCAGCAGCACTAAGGCCGGTTAGGGATAGATCCTAACATTTCATGGTGTGCAGTCATACTAACCACGGGTAGCGATCCATCGTGGGGGCGCTAAATTGTAACAGACCTCTGGGCAAGTTTCTTCCGGAAATCGTGGTTAAAGACTTAATAATTTATTAGGGCGTATGTAATGCGTGCCCAATGCGTAGAAAATAAATTAGAGCCGCTTGTAATTGTTTTACTGAAGCAAATATATATATGAAAAGCATCAGGAAAGCATAAAATCGACCAACATAAACTACTATTGGTCAGCAGAGGATGTCGATTGACCAGTAAGAACATTAGAACGAGTCCTATTGGTTAACATAAAGCAGGAAGGGTTTCATAGACCGAAATCCGACCTACAACCTAATTGCAGCGTTTATGTGGTCGTCCGTTTGTGGGGGAAGGGGGTTAGTGGGTAGGTGAATGTAATTAAGCATATGGGTTTTCCCCAGAATGACCGAAAACAATTGTTTGCCAATCCGACTTTTCAATCGTAAAATGGGAATTTTCGCAGAACTAAGTGATCATTATTAATACCAACCCTCAAACTGCCTCTTCATGGATCTCTGCAAGGTTTCGATTGCCTCTCACGGACATTTTAAAAAAGCCGTCTGAGAAGTCCCCTTCTATAAATCAGTCAGTTGGACAAAAGTAAAAGGATTATAAAGTCTAGAACTGAAACCGATTCCAATGAATCGTCCCTGAAAAGCACATAAATGCATTGTGGTGGCTAGTGTGGACTTATCTCATAATAAGCACACTCACTGCTGGCTATTTGACTTAAAGCTAAATATTATTCAACGAAATATGAATAGTGTAAGACAAGGTTTTAATTGATTTTATGATTTACATTTGCTTCCCATTCCAAGGGTGCGTATGCCTAATTAGTACCCTGTAAAACTTAAATATTTTCCAGAATAGTGAAGATTTGACAAGTCTATGCTACGACAAATATGCTGAGGACCAGTTTTGTGCGTGCAATGAAACAGCCCTCGCACAAAAACAGCTTTCGATGGCGAGAAGAGGAGAGGATCACTCGAGTGGAAAACAACTGGGTTTTCCAATTTTTCGGCTAATTGCGTGATACACAATTTCTAAAATTCATGCGCAAAGGGCTATCACAACTGCTCACGTTATTTTGGGCAAGACAAGGCACAGAGAAGGCCCTAGTTTTGACAGAGTTAAGTCCTAAAATGTGGAGTGTATATACTTATCGACACGCATGAGTACATTCGCTTGATTTCCACAAAAATCTGAACATTTTCTCAACTGCTTCTGCCAGGGAATAAGACCCAGAAGGGTAGACAGTGAAGTACTTTGTTGGTGACGTTAAGAGATGGGAAAAATGGCCAAGTTGGAAGCAAACCCTGGTCTCCAGGGCCTCACTACTGTCCCAAAAAGCCAGAAGAAGCGAGAGTTCAAGTCACAGCCATAACACGGGGAGGCAAACGTAGGCTATTGATTAGTATGATAGTACAATACAGTCTACAGAGATTTCAGAGTAAGGGAGTTAGTTACGCTGACCTTCTAGACGCAAATA